TATTTACATTTTTTTGCACCCTCAGATTTCAGATTTTCAAATCTCAGACAAATATTGTCCTATCCTAACAAACCATACATCAATGGAAAGCTTATTTATACAGCTTTCAGATGATGTATAAATCTCAGTTTCAATAAATTGACCCTTATGACTGGTTTTGTGGTCCAGGGTCACATTTGTGACTAATTATGCATTCAAATGTGCTTACTGTTAGCTCTGGCTGACTGATTTCTTGTTTCCGGCTGTTGTTAGGTATTGTGCTGGACTCTGGTGATGGTGTGACCCACAATGTGCCCATCTATGAGGGTTACGCTCTTCCCCACGCCATCATGCGTCTGGACTTGGCTGGTCGCGATCTGACAGACTACCTGATGAAGATCCTGACCGAGCGCGGATACTCTTTCGTCACAACCGGTGTGTACCTGGTCACTTTTTTACTGGGATATTTCTAGCATGTGTGAAACAGACCAAATAAACAACTCTCGCTTTGTCGTTCACCACAGCCGAGCGTGAGATTGTCCGTGACATCAAGGAGAAGCTCTGCTACGTCGCACTGGACTTTGAGAATGAGATGGCCACCGCCGCCTCCTCATCCTCCCTCGAGAAGAGCTACGAGCTTCCCGACGGTCAGGTCATCACCATCGGTAATGAGCGTTTCCGTTGCCCCGAGACCCTGTTCCAGCCTTCCTTCATTGGTATGTTTGAAAACATTTAAAATGGTCGGCTGTTGTCTTACCTTTTAGTCCTCCAACCATTTATATGCTCTCCTTAAAACACTTGCACAGGTATGGAGTCTGCCGGCATTCACGAAACCGCTTACAACAGCATCATGAAGTGCGATATTGACATCAGAAAGGACTTGTACGCCAACAACGTCCTGTCTGGTGGAACCACAATGTACCCTGGTATTGCTGACCGGATGCAGAAGGAGATCACAGCCCTGGCTCCCAGCACAATGAAGATCAAGGTAATAAAAAACTCAAGGTTTGGCTGAGTTGGTTTTTCCATGTTGACTTTATTGGGGTCATGAACTGCCTTTTTTTTTTTACTATTTTGTACTGAACTGAGGTCCACTTATAATGTTATCAAAAACATCTAAAAACATCATAATTTAGAAGTAATTATGTAACTATTTTCTGTCCTGTTTTTGACCCCCTCGCTGCTATGATTGGCTAACACAGCCTGCGTCCTTCACAGATGGATGCTGCTTGGATTTAGGTTTAAAACGCATAAATATTCAGTACATATAAAACGATCTGTAATAACAGATAAAGCAATAGCGATCACGTAATGAAAACAGTTACTCACACTTGTGTGTTGCGATATTACGGTCGGATCCAATATAGCCAACACGGCATCCTCTTTTAGTTTCAATCTTTCTGAAAATCCTGCGTCGAATTGTGCTTCGTTTGTAAACGAATCCGCGGTAAAATGAAGTGAACAAAGGACCAAGTTCTTACTGACGGTCTGGATCTTCATTAAAAATAAAGTTCACGCTTTCCTAATTTTGTTAGGAGATGCCAAGACTGTTTTCCACAACTTGGCCCTGCACCGCGTCTTGTTGTCTTCAGATCATCTTTATCGTTTGGTTTCTGCATAGACCTGCGTTTGACGCTCTTGTTTCCACTACATGTGCGAATCAGTGGGTGGGGCTAAACAGGCAGCGATGTAGAAGCAGGCGTTGATCTTCCTCCGCGGAGGCGGTGCTTAGCCACACTATTACACCAGAAAAGTGGCACATTCCACAAGCTGTTATTCTGGCAGACTGCCTTCAATATCATCTGTTTTTAGACTAACGAGAAAAGTTTTGAGTTCTGAAATTTGCAGGATATTTTTATAGTACAATGACCTCTTATATGTCAAAAGATCAAGAGAATTTTGATTTCTCAGTTCATGGCCCCTTTAAAACCGCAGGCTAGTTTTCTGAGTAATATTTGATCTCCTCCTCCTCCTCTGTAGATCATTGCTCCCCCTGAGCGCAAGTACTCCGTCTGGATCGGCGGCTCCATCCTGGCCTCCCTGTCCACCTTCCAGCAGATGTGGATCACCAAGCAGGAATACGACGAGGCTGGCCCCAGCATCGTCCACCGCAAGTGCTTCTAAGCGCCTGGCTCACCATCCTATCATTGCTTCCTGCTCAGGAACCAAGCGACGGTGCATTGCTCCTGTGGACAGCTTTTCTACAGTCGTTATTTATGCATTGACGTAGGAGCGAGCAGTAAAAGCACAAACTGAGAAAACGTCAAGGGAGAGAAAAATACCAAGCGCTCTCATTGCACACAAATGTATTTATTACTGACTTCCATGGCTTGGTATTTTGGCGAATGCTGTTTGAAATTGAAGGACCCCGCTCCCTTAGATTCCATACGTTCCACTGTACACCCGGTCCAGTTGATGACCAACACAAATCACACTTCAACAGACAAATAAAACTGAAAATCTATTTTTAAACATGGTACTCGTCAATGAATATGTCATTTCAGCCTACACTGAGACAGACTAAACAATATTAACCCAACCTCTCCGATGGTTTACAGATGATTAACACAACACAAAGTCTTGTTATGTCTGTAATCTGACAGCTATAAACCATCTGGGCTGTTTAAGTGGGCTCTAATGGAGGATGAATGCGTATGGGACAATTAATGGATCACAGAAGCATTACAGTAGCACTGACAGTCTTACAGTTTATACTTTGTATAAAGGAATCGTAATCTTTATTAGCTGACACTTTTTATCATAACACAGCGGGTGTTATGATATAAAGTATAAGCTAATAAAGATTATTATATATATTATTAGCTTGAATACTTATAATATATATATATATATACTGATTTAATACTGAATAAGTTACTGAATACTTTTCTTCTTTATATGGTAACTTTTGTCAGCTGTAAAGAAAAATGTTTTATAGTTTTACCCTGTAATACCAATGATGTGCCCTTACGAAAATTAAGCATGGTTTTATTGTATTATTATTATAGTAAATGTGTAGTAACCATGTTTTTTTCTGGTATATTGAATTTTTATAACCATTTTTACTACAAATTACCATGGTTAAACTATGGTTAGTGTAGCAAAACCATGGTTAATTTATATGGTTACCATATGGTTTAACTATAGTAATCATGTTTTTTTCCCCGGTTTTATTTATCGTAAAACCGTGGTTAATTTTCGTAAGGTTACCATACCGCCATGAAATGTTTTGTTGTTGATAGACGTCAGTCATTCGTGTTAACTTTTAACATGCACACAGCACAGAGATCAAATCAATATGAGATTCAGCTGAAGGGCAGAAGTCTGTACATCCAAAAATGTTCATACCTCATATGCTATTTGTTTCATATTAGAGTTAAAATATTTTCCTGACAGACTAAGACCTTTTCTGCGCATGCGCTGAGAAAGTTTAATCACTAGGAATGAGAGGAATGTAGTATTAGAACTGTCACCTGTTACAAATGATATTCTCGCCTTTTTCCATTAAAAAAAAAATATTAGGAAAACGTTTAAGGACAAACTACTCCACAAATAATCAAATTATTCTATCCACTGGAATAAAGTAGACGAGTATAATCAAATTAGGATCAGTTAAACGGTAGATTGGATTGTGCGTGCGTATTTGCGCAGCAAGTCCTCAGGCAGTCCAAGTGATGTTGTGCGCATGCGCACTGTAAATCACCAAAGCCCTAATATCACCGAGGCTTGTTTTTCTAGTACGCAGCAGGCGCTCAACAGTGATAGATAGATGTACGTAAGAATGTAAGAATAAGAATGTACGTCTTTATCCAACGTTAAAGCATAAGGAACAGAAAAGAAAGGAGTGGGTGAGTTTAAAGCGCTTTCACTTATCCGAGTCAGTGTTTACCTACATAAGCTACTCAGGGCAGGTGAAGACAGACCTGTAAACATAGTGCGCTGCCAACGTAATCAGACGGTTTTCTTCAGCGAATAAAATTTCAATGATTTTTTACCAGTTTCTTAATAACAATAAATATGATTGCATCTTTATTTAATGCAGTGTGCTGTGATAGATTATGATTAGGCATGCATGAACATGCTCGTAAAAACGCGACGGCAGCATCGTAGCAATTTATTAATCATACGATAAACGTGTATTAAAAACGTCCCGAGAACGTAAGAAACGTCCCTTTAGAAATGTGACATCGGCTTATGTATTATGTAAAGAATATAAATAAATAATGTGGGCACTGGGCTGTAACCTACTCTACCGGAGAACTGGAATAACACAATGCACTCCTCCTAGGGTAGGGCTGAGTGCAATACTAAAATCATCGCAATCCGTACTATGTACAACTTAGAACAGATGGACATCAAGTATGCGAGCGTGCATAGACAAGGCTGACACATTATGATGTTAATTCCGTAGGTGATTATTTCAGCAGGGCGAAATGTCTACCAATAACAACATGATGTCCAAGAAGATCCGGACGGAGTACATGAAGAAGTTCAGAGATCCCAAGTGGGAGACGTTCTCGAAATGTTACGAGGACTCTGTGAAATACAGACTGACGCGGAGGCTGATGGAGCAGACACACAGGCCCTTCTTCGTGGATGGATGGGACAGCGGGTCCGACTCGAGCGGAGGGTCCAGTCCCAAACTGCAGGAGGGGAACGTCTCAAATGCCAAACACTACACATCCTCATCAGAGTCCAAGAATGAGAACGCAGAGGTTCTGGACTCCTGGAAGCCACAGGTGAATGGAGAGGTTCACACGGATACTAGTGCAACCGTGGAAAGCTCACGTCCCTTGGGTACGTTCATGTCTCGTAAGCTTCAGTTTGATTGAAACCTGATTTAAATTTTCATTTTTGAGTGAACTACTCACTTTGCTTTTGTCACAGAGAATGGTTACAAAGATGTGGCTCCTAACGGACCATCAGAATCTAATCCGAAACGGCGACAGAGACGCCGGGCGCCCCGTTCAGATCCGTGCTACCCTAATAAAGAGCTGGATAGTGATGAATCTCAACTATCCGTATCAAGAAAACCATCCCGAGCCAAGAGCCAACCACCGGGCAACACCAAGGAGCGGACGTCCAACCGTGACAACAGACGGTCTTTTATCCATTATGACTGGGCAGAAAGGCACATTGAGACCAGGGACAGAAGAACACCGAATATGAGAGCGTCTATGTCCGCTGGAGAGGTAACCGCAGCTTTCGGTATCGTATCTGATATTAGAGGCAATGAATACTACTCTCAGATCATTACCTCAGATGTAGATGTATTTGCCATGAGAACGTCTTGTACCCATACGACAAAAAAAGATTTCAGATATTCTTTGTAAATATATTTCAAAGCACATTTTATTATAATATATATTTTAGAAAACATATTTAAAGAAATATGTCACTAATATATAATATATAATCAAAAAATATTTTATATTATAAATGTTTGATTTCTTTTTCAATATATTATTGTATTATGTAGCCATATATTAAAGAAAATTAAAAGCTTCAGTTTGTATAAATAACACAGTTTGGCTATAGAATTAATTATTTTGTTTATCATTATTTATTTATTTTATTTTATTATTATAATTTTTGCTGTATAGATAGCCATTAGCAGAAAGGAATTACAACTAACTTTTTTTTTTATATTTCTGATCTTTTTAAATATATTTTCTCATATTACATAACCATAAATAGTTATTTTTTTCTGGCATTTTTGCCTTTTATTAGGATTAGTATATATTGACAGGAAGCGAGCCGGGACTCGAACTCGGGTCGCCTAAAGCGCAACGGCACTATATGTTGGCGCGCTGACCATTATTTTTAATTTGACATATAAACATTAAAAATAGTTCAATATTTTAAAAAGCTGCACTGTATTTTTTCCCTGCATGGCTATCCATTAGCAGAAGTGAGCATGAGTGTGTTTTTAACAGATTTGAATAAATGATACAAACAAAGAGGGGAATTTTGAAGCGACTATAAACAGCCGTTCTAATCAGTGGAATGAAGCACTGTGTGTCATCTGACACTGCGTGTGGAAGCGGTGAATTATTCAGCGTGGAGCAGTGATGTCCTGAAGCTACAGTCAGATTACCTTCTCTGGTTTACAAAAGTTTAGTAGGTTAAAGAGCTGGATTTCACCAGTGTAGAAAACTGCAAATGAGTCAAGAGATCCTAGAAACTGAATATATCTGAATTCATTTGCAGATTCATCGGGCCGACGTGGGCGTCCAGACACGAAGAGAGGCTAAAAAAGGTGGAAGATCATCAGAGCGCCGACGGGCGCAGTCAGCTGACCCGGAGAAGTCCAGAAGATCAGCACTGAGTGTGGCAGACGAGCGCTGGATGACCGAGTACATGCGCTGCTTCTCTGCTCGACTGAGGTAGAGGCGGCTCCAGGATGGATTTGATATGATGAGGCTGCAAGAAAAAGATCCCAAACCAGCACTACAGGACCATTACAGAAGGCACTGGACAATTGACAACAAAAACTGAATAAAAAGTTACACGCATTCCATTAAATTCGAAATATGAAATGCAGTTATTCATAAAATATTAAAATAATTCATATTTTTTGATGCTGGTGTAACCCCTCTCTCCCGGGTCCTCACCGCCACACCTCGTTCTTGTTCCGAGTGGAACTCAAACCCGGGTCTCCGACATGGGAGGCGGACGCACTAACAAGGAGGCTAAAGACTGCAGCCACTAGCGTCAGTCGCTAGTGCATCTCTTGAGATCAGGGGAGTGAGGTTTACCTGCACAGCACCTACCGCTGGCCTCCGTTACACTCACCCCCCTAAACCTCACTCCCATCCGGGTCACGGCACCAATGTAACCCCTCTCTCTCGGGTCCTCACCGCCACACCTCGTTCTTGTTCCGAGTGGGTCTCGAACCGCACTAACAAGAAGACCTACCGCTGGCCTCCGTTACACTGGCTACAATCACTTTGTTATGAATGCATTTAAGGATCAAACGTTTAAATATTACACCAAAACACATTTGGTATCACAAATACTTTAATATTTTCAGTATCTTGTTTCTGTTGGAATTTAATGGTCATTTTATTTTCAGTGTTTGGTGGTTATTAGAAGGTTTCAGATCTTCTGTTCTGACTTTTAACATGGGCTGCAGGGATTTAACGATCACAATTAATTTC